CTTATCTTTGTATATTTTTTTACAAAGGATGTGTTAACTTTCAGATCTTCTGTTTAGAACTTCAGTTAATTGTTTGATCTATGAAAACAGCAGAAAACAGAGACAGATGTGCATCACAGTTTTCCAAAGGTTAATGTTATCAGACAACTTGGTTTATCTGAGCAGCAGTCCAAAATCTAAAATAGGCATTTATTATCATTTAAAACAAGGCAAAACCACACATGTTCACATTTCAGTACTAGGACTATGAGATATTTGACTTTTTGATTAAAAACATGTTCAGCTATTAATTCACTATTAAAATATCTGTAGATACATTTTCTTCTGACCTACTAATCGATTACTTTAGTGATTGTTTACTTTTAAACATGCACACTGTCACACTCAGATAATAATAAGTATAAAAATAATTACTTTAAAATATTTAACATTTTGATTGAAAAAAATTTCTTTTCAAAACTCTCACAGATGTAAGTTGTTTTTTCAGTCTAACAAAACATGGTCTATTGGAAAAAGAGAGCAAGAGAGCTGTGGATCTGGTAAATAGGGCTTTCTGGAAGCAGCAGAGATGAATAATTTGGCTGAGTGACTGCAGCTATTAACCTGGAGCTCTTTTCTGCTTTGACAGATAACAGAGACCTGCTTCTAATGATGCCACAGAATCACAGCAACAATCTAGAACCTTAACTGAGAGCAAAAATGAGTTGCCATATTTATGTAAAGCCAATTCTCAAACTACAATGTGGAGCAATCAGCTACAAATTTGCCGCTTGTACAAACTAATAAGAAAAGAGAAATAAATAATTAAATAAACAATAACAATAATTGTAATTTTTGGCATCCGTGCAAAAGTAATCATACATTTCCAAATTTCAATTTAAACAGGTCTACATAGCCCAGAGAGACTTTTTTTTTTTTTTATTGTGCACCTGAAACGAGGCAGCATCTCGTGCATCATACAAGGCACAAATCAATCATAATTTGAATCAAAATGATGTTTTGGTGGAATGGAATTTTCTCACATCTCACTGCATCTTCTCCCTGTTTAGGAACACAAACAAAAGCTCTTATTGCTTCAGGCTGATTTGTATGACCGGGTGTGGAAAAAAAGAGATGTTAGATGCATTTATCAAATATGGCAATTTGCTTAATGGACTCTGACAAAGCCACTGGCGGTCTTTATTTAGATGTAGATGACTTCCTCCATACTGGCTTCCTCTGTCACTCTTACAGCTGGTTGTCAGGGAAAGGAAGAACGCTCCCTCCTGTTTCAAAACACTGACAGTCAATTACTACTGCTGTCTGTTTATATATGAGACCAACTGACTGCCTGTCTATCATCCTTATCAACCTTCCTTGGCTGACACTATTATGTCCAGAAATTCTCTATTAAAGAGAACAAACCATCTCTCAGCTGAACTGCTCCACATGTGAAGACACGTGGTCGTGGTTGTCATGATGTGTAAGAAAAACGAGAGAGTTGGCTGAGAGACACACTGACAACTCTAAACTGTGGCTGTGTTTCATTACATCCTACTCCATATCACTCAAAAACACAACCTGGCGAAATACTGAGGTTAAATAGTGTTTGTAATTCCTTCAGTTTGACAGTAATCCACATTACACACATCAGAATTTTAAGAACAATACCAGCAAAAACAAACCTATTCTGTTTTGAATTGTTGTATTGTTTACAGGATAAGTTTCTGTGTGGGGACCTACGTTTGTTCACACAGTCACACTGTGGGGACTCAATGTCCTTATGGGGACAAAAAGCAAGTCCCCAAAACATAAATACTTGGTTCAAGGTTAGGGGAATGGTTAGGGTTAGGCAAGCATAGGGTAGGCCTAAGTCTTCTGGAAATTAATATACATCAATGTAATATCCCCTGAAGTGATGGAGACACAACATACACATGCATGTTGTGTGTGTATTGGAAGAGGTGAGTTGGGGAGGAGGTGAGTGATTTAATGCTGAAACAACAGTGCCCTCTGGGGAAGGAAAGGGCATCAGCCCATGCTCTTGGATGTTATCTGTCGTATTACACTGTTCTGTTGTTTGATACATCATTGATCTTCTATATGCACATCAGAATCTGCTTTATGCATATGCTTTTTTAAACTTCTCTTAAAACTATTTCATTTCATAAACCAAGTGGGATTTCTTCAACCTTTGTTTCTAAATAAAAATGCTAAAGTCCTCTGGGCCTTAGCTGTGAGGATGGTAGGATGAAGTCTCTTGCAAAAACAAACCCAACAAATGGAGTTCTTCTTTAATGAATCTTCTCAGACTTCTGTGCTTAAGATGTGCTAATGGACATTAATCTCCCGTGCTGTCAAAGCTTAAAATCCTCTCACTCCAGAGGACAGATTAACAGAAATCCACCAGGGAAGAGTTCTTCAAAACCACATAGGGACTGAGAGGCTATCCTGCATCCATGGAAGCCTTTCACATTAGTATGGTAACCACCTTTAAAGCAAAGACCTACATCCTGCAAAATAAGTTTGTCTGAATTCAGTCAAGGGTCAGTAATGACATACAGTTGGATTTACACATCTTATAAGTATTTTGTTCAAGGGTGGATCTAAAAAAATTTGGATGGGGTGGCCATGCTGGGGCATTAACTCAGAGATGGGTGGCACATTTGAGATATATTTACAAAGTAAATTAAAACTCTCCTATGACATAATAAACCACACATTATTAAGAGACTGTGAGGCACACATAGTGTGTGCTTTCTTTAGCTAATTTTGGCTGCGGTCCTTATCTACTCCTGCCTGGGGACATTGCGGCTGCACAGTGGTTCGCCCCTCCAACTGAGACAAATCATGCCAATTATGCCATAACAACACAGTCAGAGAAATGAATGCAAATATCATGCTGCATGCATGATAAAAAATAAACTAATTTGGCCAATAACAATTATAAAGCACCAGAAAAATGTTAGCTGTATTTAAAGCAACAATTTGTGATTGTTTTTCATTTTTCATTCATTAATACTGACAAGCATCACATTTTGACTCTGGCAGGGGTGGGACCACCACCCCCCCTCGGGGGGTCCCCCCCTTGGCCACCCTCTGGCCCTGCCCATGTTTGTGTTTGATGTTTATGAAACACAAAGGTTTGAAGCCAAATTTTCTTTTAAAAAGTTATTGCTTTAAGATATCATTTAAGTAGACAAGTACACAGAAGTAACTGCATGAGGAACATACAGTAAATGAGTCATACATTAGCCTATTTTTAAACAAACCAATTTGCTTCTCAGCTTTTTATATTCCGCCAGATTTTAAAGAATATTTATAACATAAATGAGAACTCTGAGGACAAGATTTGTCACCACATATCTAACTATAATACAACATTTAATTCGAAGTGTACATCTATTCACTATCTGCATTATATTGACTAAGTGTTCAGTTCAGTGCAATGGTTTGAATAAAACAGTGACATTTCATATGCTCCAACTCTCAGTGCATTCCCCTGGGACAGAAAAATCACATTTCAGTTTGCAGGAGTGCATCCATTCAGCAAACAGCCAACAGCAAGCAAGCAAGCAGCCACAGACATTTTAGATGACATTTGATAACACAGAGGCCAATATCTGAATTGGGCACATGGGACATAAGGAGCAAATCAATGTTTTTCATTGACTTGATAGAATAAAAGCAATCACCTCCTTGCATCTCACTGATGGAAAGTAGCACAAAGACAGAGCTGCATATTATACACTGTATGAACCTTAATTCTGCAGGCAAGGGTTGTGTTACATCCTCGTCACAGCAGCCATGATGGAGAGGAGGTGACTGTTACCATAATCAGCTTGGAGAGAGACACAGGGTTACTGATTGGAACATGTCATATGATACATACAACACGGTAGAGATGGACCCTGACATTCTTTTGGGGGTGTCACCTTTTATACTGTAAATCTCTTTCTCAGTCACTGCCACAGTTTACTGTAATTTGTCCTTGTACAAAATTGCTCTAATTGTGTGACTTGTTTTTCTAGGCCCAATTTGTGAGGGAGGGTGCTGTGGAGCTGAACCACTTAAGTGCAGAGGTTCACTGATATTCATCTGGGAAGAGGCACAGAAGTGGTCTGATGTCTTTAGAGAGCCTATTTCACTATTAATTGAAATGTTACAGTTGGAGAGAAGTCTCTTTGAGGTGTCAGCATAGCTCTGAGCAAGAAAATATGAGTTTCAGCAGCAAAGAGAAGACTACCTATCATGTGATATTTTTTTATTGTTATACAGTGAACATTTAAAGAACTGTGATTTAGTACTGCATTCCCATACAGCTTGAGAGACAAATCTTTTAAAAAAGATATCACTTGCACTGAAGTTTATCTTTAAAAAATCTATTCAGGGTTGTTTATCACTTAAAAAACATTTATTGATGTTTAATATGCTGATTATTGTTTTGATAAATCAAATAATTCAATATGCTGAACAACATAAACTGTGAAAAGTGCTCATCACTTTCAAGTGGAAGGTGTCATCTTAGTCAGTAGTCCAAAAGCTAAAGATGCTGTATTTTGATTTACCATCACAGAGGACACTGAAAAGTTTACAATCATCATATAGTGGGTTACAGCTTATCTTTGCTTTGAGGAAAGTGATTTGCTTTTCCACAGGCTGTAGCCTATTTGCAGGGTCAAGGTAAACTTAATACACAACATGTTGCAGCAAACAGCTGCTGAGCAGATTCTTGGTTCATGGAGGTTATCTGTACTGTATAGGCCCTGAAATCTATTTCCTCAGTCACTTTCTTAGGATGAGACATAGAGCCCTCACAGACTTATGTGTTAGTGTTTTTCTCTGAGCTCTTGATTTGAAGGGTCGGGGCAAAAAGGTGATGACACATACATCCGTACAACAGTCACATTGTACCAACATTTAAATCACAATGTGATGACAGTCGTGGCTTGTCTGCTTATGGCCATCGTCGGTTACATGAGATCAAATCGCACCCACGCGGTGTTTTTGTGTGAGATCTTACTGTAGCGTGCAATCAAGACAGAAAGCGGAAGACGCCGTCGCTTAGCAACCAATGGGCCAAACAAGCGCGAGCAACATCGGAGGAGTTTGAAAACGTGACATATTAGCATTAGCATGAGCGTAATATAATTTCAGCTAATTAAACAGTCTCTTGAAAACCATTGAATCTATATTTATTTTGTTTGACCTTTTAATCAAATGGCAGCCAAGAAGAAAGAAGCGACCCTGCAGGTTAGACAGCAAGGTTTCTAGAATCCTCACTAGTCTTCCTCTGCTTCTACTTAAAGTTTCCTTTATGAAGCACTAAGTTAATCATTTGGCTTTTCTTGTCAAGGCGTCTGTCACAAATCAAGAACAGTGGGAAGAGATGCTTGCAACCAAGGGTTTAACCGGTAAGAACTTCAGGAGTAAATAGTTGTTGTAGTGTCCTTTTAAAGTGAATATTTAGCATCATAACACAACGCATTTGTTTTGTAGAAGTGTCTGTGGATGAGCTCTGGTATTGTGACTGTAATTTATTGTATACTGCTGCCCCACTGTGTTCACTGGGATAACTGCAGATGTATTCTTCTATCAACGTACCTACCATTCTGTGGTTTAGCACTGCTTAGTATGATCATTTCCATAACTTATGGTATATTTGGAAATGCGCTATTTCAAACCGATCAAAGAGGATGTGTTGGTAAGTAACCTGTGACATTAATTCTTACACCTCAATTCTTAATTAGTTAGCCGAAAATCAGTTAGCTAGCTACTTTTGACAGTTTGGTTCAGTTTAGCAGCCATTTCATTTCATCTCTTAAAAAGGGCAGTGGTGGAAGAAGTACTCAAACCATTTACTTAAGTAAAAGTAGCAAAACCACACTTTAAAAATTAAGAAGTACAGAAGTGTTGTTATAAAAATATACTTCAAATAGCAAAAATAATGTGGAATGGCACTTTTCATATTAATGTTTACCATATTATTGGATGCATTGTTGTGTACATCACATTTAATGCTGCAGCTGGTAAAGCTGGAGCTAATATTAACTGCCTTATATACTTATAATGAATTACTGCAGGATAGCTTGTGAATTTACCACCTGGGGACCAATAAAGTCTTATGACTATACTGTAACTAAACTAAAGCAACTAATATTATTATATATGTGTAGCGCAGTAGAGAGTACAATATTTGCATCTAAACATGTAGTAAAGCTGTATTATGAACTAGCAGAAAATGGAAATACTATAGTACAGACACCTCAAAATTGTACTTAAGTGCAATACTTGAGTAAATGTACATAGGTACTTTTTCCACCACTGTAAAAGAAAGTGAATTAGAAGCCAAAGAGAGACGGCAGAAAACTAAGGAGACATTGAAGAAAGAGGGAGAAAAAGAGTCTTTCAACTTGGATGACAAAAGATGAGCTAATCTAAGACTGATAGGTGTGAAAAAAAGGGCTGACCATCATATTTGGACCTATTAATTTTCATTTTAATTTAACTGATAATAATGGAAATTTGTATACAAGCGTCTTGTACACTAACATCAATGTTGGATGTGATTCATCTCTCCAATAATGATCAAGACAGAAAAAAATACCAGTATGTCTGGTATTTTACAGTGTATACCAGGGAGACAGTGATTGATACATGTATTTATTATTAATAACTGTAATATTGGAAAAAATCTAATTAACATATACTGATAGATTCCCTTTTTAAAATTTTGAGCCCCTGCCCCTGAGAAACTCTCTGCATGTCCTTGCATAAACACACAGTGTCTCCATCTTTTTAGTTGTAGATGTGTACCAGCAGTGGTGTGGTCCTTGTCGAGCTGTGGTTAGTTTGCTACGGAAAATAAAGAATGAACTGGGTGATGACCTGTTACATTTTGCCACGGTAAGCCCTAAGTGAATTTAAATTGAAAGTACTGAAACCAAAATATGTGTGGAAGTATCCCTAAAAACTAATATGTGTGTGCTTGTGTGTGGTGCAGGCTGAGGCAGACAGTATAGATGCTCTGGAGAAGTATCGAGGGAAATGTGAGCCCACTTTCCTCTTCTACGGGGTGAGTATGCGTTCAATATGTAGCGCATGTGTGTATGCATGTATGTACAGTAACTGTGTGTTCATGGTGCAGCATATATGAGCCATCAGGTCTGTCTGCTTTGCCTTTTTTGTCCATTGTATACAAATTATGTTTTAAAATTTTCCCCTAGTTATTTCTATAACACTTTATACTGTAGTCCTGCCCTCAGTTAACACTGTAATTTTTCTTGAATGAGTCAGGTACTAATAAAATACTGGTTACTACAGCTTAAATATAGGTGCAGTGGAGAAAAAAAACAAGTCGAGGAAAATAGGTGTTAACAACCTTCTATTACTGTGAAATGAAGAGTAACAAGGGGAGAATAGCCACACAAAATATTGTAGCCCACATACAGTATTTTTACAAAGATATGTAAAATACATGTTTTAAAATACACAATCTAGAAAAGGAAGTTTGATGTTAGTCACTGTACCTAAATTAAAGTTCCAGTAGGAGGCAGTAAGTATTTTATTGTTACCTGACTTATACAACTAAATGCTACTATTATCTCTATATTTATCTATTTATTTTTTGTGTATATTGTTTTTCCCTTTAATCCAGACTTTATAGTGATCAGAGGCACAGGGCCAGGAAGTAGGGTAGAGTAGAGTTGTGACCTCTCTGGAGGTATTCTATTTTTATTGTGCTTATTCTTGAGCTTCGACTCATTCTTTGTTGCCGCTGTCTCACTGGTTTATTGCATCTTTGTGGATTGCTTACAAAGGACTCTGTAGTCTCAACGCATCTCTATATCTCACTGCTTGTAAAAGTTAAAGTAAAAAAAAAAAAGGTTACAAAAACATATCAAGGTCTTTGTGTTGAATGAACAGTGTGGTGAGCTAGTGGCTGTGCTGCGAGGGGCCAATGCTCCTTTGCTTCAGAGGATGATTGTAGAGGAACTAGCCAAGGAAAAGTTGGTCCTGGAACAAGGTGGTGAACGCAGAGCGGTAAGCGGTGAAATACACACATTCACATACATGCAGTGTGTTCTTTCTGGAGAGGAAACAGTGGACTTTTTTCACAGAAGACATTTTGACTTGACAGTAGGACAAATCACAGGTGTTACTAATAACATAAGTGATTGCTTTGTTTTATTCTAGTGTCCTAATAAGCCAGGACAGTGTGACTGAGTAAGCATGCACAATATCAGGACCCTCAAAGTGAAGCAACTAAATGAAAATCATTCATCATTAATTAATTTATTTACACCTGTATGACATGTTCCTGGAAAAAAAACACCCGTTACTCAATTAAAGTTAATGCTAAGTTTGAGTTAAAGAGGTTTTTCTAAGGACAGAGGGCGTTGTATGCTGCAGAGATTATAACGTCCCTTAAGACAAATTTGTGGTATTTGACAATAAAAATGGATTTACCTTGACACGACAGCCACACCCAGAGGGGCACATATATTGAATGATCATTTTTCAAGTAAAATCTCCAAATGTTCTGTGGTTTCAGCTGCATTTCTTTGTCTTATGTGATAGTACACGAGTGATATTTCATTGGACTTTGGATTGTTGAGCAGATAAGTCACTGTGGGTCACTGGGATGGCCAATTTTCCTGTTGTCTGAGTTTTGACACAACAAAGATATATAATAATAGAGAGTATAATAATCAGATTAATTAATCCATTATGTATACTGCTTATCCTGTAGAGGTTTGCAGCTGACATTGGGCGAGGGGTGGGGTACACCCTGGACAGCTTGCCAGTCTATCACAGGGCCGACACATAGAGACAAACAACCATTCACGTTCACACCAATGGACAATTTAGTGTCCGATCAACCTAACCTGCATGTTTTTGGACTGTGGGAGGAAGCCGGACTACCAGGAGAAAACCCATGCAAGCATAGGGAGAACATGCAAACTACACAGAAAAACCCTGTCAGACATGAGGTTCAAACCTGGAACCTTTTTTGATCAGCACATCAGCTGTTAATGAAATATTCAGTAACTGCAGCTGTAGATCATTCCTACAGTATAAGAGTGTATGTGTGCAAGTGTTTTTATAGCCAGCCATGTTTAGGGAGTGAGTGTATCTATCTGGTTTTGTTGTGTCAGGTTAAAGATGACGGTCTGGTGGATGATGAGAAGAAAGAAGAGGTGTCTCGGCAAGTAGAAAATGAAGAAAGCATAATTGGTACTATGGGAACAATATGATCATATTTGTGGTCAGTTTTTATTGCCAATGGCATTATTACTGTTACTGTGATTACGGTTGTTTACCAGTGACTCAGTACCATTTTGCATTTTATCAGCGTCATTGATCATCACTCAATTTTCTCTGTTCTTCTTTAGTACCTGCTTGTAAATCATACACTGTTGCCATCATCAAACCAGATGCTGTTGCTCATGGCAAGGCAGATGAGATCATTATGAAGGTAGACACAAAACACTGTTCAAATTCTGAGAAGACATGATTGTCTCAAAACTTCCTGCTTATATTAAACCATTATTGTTTACATTATGTCCGTGGCTAGATTCAGGATGCTGGGTTTGAGATCCTGGCCCATGAGCAGCGCACGTTGACTGAGGTGGAGGCTCGAGATTTTTACCAGCACAAAGCAGCAGAGGTATGGTGAAGTGAATCAAATGAAGTAGAAAAGACTTGTAGAATAATAGCAAAACAGCACATGTAATGCAAATGTACAGTATATCAAGACTGAGCAATTAGCTGATATGGATGCAAACACTCATGGTTATAGCTTACTGCATAGCAGAGCAGTTAAACTGCTAATGGATTCAGTGACAATTTGAATTTTGAGCCAACATCCTAATGGAAGAACAGTCATAATCAGTGCAAAAATCATTTCAATTAGTTTGCAACACATTATACCTCCATCTGCATTTCTGCACAAGGCTCAGAACAGAGCTGCTGTGCAAGCAACTTACTTATCCCACTGTTAGTGGCAAGACTACATGATCAGGGATTCAGAAATACTAAATATGTGAGGAAATGCGGCCATGTAAATCAATAAATCAATGTAATGAAATGATAAATATGTACCTGGCTTGTGGTATATTATTGTATCTGCCTCTATAAATAAATTTATACTCTTCTCACTTTCTCAAAATAGGAAAGAGGTTTACCAAATTATCTGTGTAACTTTGCTAAGTAAAACCCAGAACCTCTTTTATATCTGATGCATGGACTGAAGTAAAAGGACATGTTTTGTGTTCTGTACATTCATTACATTAACATCCTGTATGTGTCTGCTCTTTTCTATGTGCTTATACATACTTGATGGTGGCTGTTTTTCAGGCTTGCTTTGAGGATTTGGTGCAGTTTATGTCCAGTGGTCCCTCCCATATTCTGGTACTCTCTCAGGTAGAGGGCTCAGACAACATTGTACCAGCATGGCGTGAGTTCATTGGCCCAGCAGAATTGGAGGAAGCCAGGAGAGAAAAGCCAGAGAGGTTAGTTACTCAAAATTATACATAGGCAGAATTTTAAAAGAAAGAAGTTGAGAAAACATGAACATCCTTAAAATGTTAAGATGTAGTGTGATTAAATTATAATTTTTGTCTTTGTAGAAACATTTTTAATATTATAGTGTAGATATCTATTTATGCTTCAGTGATTGCAAAAGTGTGAAACATTCTCAGTCTGTAAAAAAGAATGAACAGCACATTTTCAGCCGCTCTGTCAGACCCACCCAAACATTATGCTTCTCTCTGGGTGAGCACCAGCAGAGCAACCATCTGCTATCCTTCCTGCAGCTTGCGGGCGCAATACGGCACACAGACACTGTTTAACGCAGTGCACGGTAGTGAGGACAGTGACCAGGCCAGCAGGGAGCTCGCCTTCTTCTTCCCCAACTTTAGGATGGCCTCAGCAACAGAGCAGGATGGGGAGGAAGAGCCTGTGGAGAGGACACTGGCTCTTATCCGGCCAGACGCTGCCAGGGAAAACAGAGGTGAGGCCTGTGCCAAATGCACAAGCACAAGTGCACACATAAGTGTACAGATACACAAAAAAGGTCGCTTATATTGACATAGCAGAACTGCTCCTTGACTCCCTAAGCAAACATAGTGAATGACACAGGGACAGTTGCAACATGTGTTATGTTATATGAAACTGGAATATACAGTAGTAACTATTTATATTAATAGGGTAAATTACAATATGTTATATATTTAATATCTGTCATGTTGCAGAAGAGATCTTGGCTCAAATCTATAAGTCAGGCTTCACAGTGCCCCTCCAAAGAGAGGTGAAGCTGACAGAGGAGCAGGTCAGGCAGTTTTACTTTCAGCATGTTGAAGAGGACTACTTCCCTGCTCTGCTTCAAAGCATGACAAGGTAACTCTCATATGCTCTAAGAAAATCTAGAGTACTGCAAAAGTTTATTCAACATATCTATATTTACAGGGGTCCAGTGCTAGCTTTGATTTTAGCTGGACCAGGGGCTGTCCATCACTGGAAGAACATCCTTGGTCCTTCTGATATTAATAGAGCCAAAGAAGAGAGCCCTGACTGGTGAGTGATGTGTCTGTTCATTCGCAAACTGAAATGAGCCAGTGTGGTATCAAAAAGCAATGGAGTTTTCACTGCTAATCCATCTGACAGCTTGTTAGAAAGAACTCAGTACTCCTCTTTTGACCTCACTTTTGAACCTGACCATGTTTTGCAGGTTATTAAATATAAATGTGTGATTAAAGAGAGGAAAGACTTGCCTTTTGCACTGACATTCTACAACCACAATGTAGGAAATGAGTTTGATAACAGATTCTTTTTCTGATAGCAGAGCAGTCACTAGACAGACCAGAAGTTTATAGAGACAACGTTTTATTGTAATCTGTCATTGTCACTCCAGTTTCTGTGGTTTATCTTAAAAATGCAAAAAATAACTAGCTGACATGGAAGCAGCTGGGGTAGGGTGATCAAAAGTGAAGAAAATTACAGTAAATTATAGAAACCTGTAATCAAAAATGATTCCTGAAATTGCATGCATTCATTTGAAATCATTTCTGGAAACCATCAAATTTTAGGTATTATTCATAAATGGTACCTAACAGTCTTAATACTACTGGCTTCTGTATGCCTCATCACTCACACAGTCTAAGGGCCAGGTTTGCTGTGGAGAATGAGCCCCTCAGCCAGCTTCATGGCAGTGCAAGCCTTGAAGACGCAGAACGAGAGATCAACTTCTTCTTCCCTAAACAGCGGACGCTGGCAGTGATCAAACCTGATACCATGGAGGAACACAGAGGTCCTTTCAGAGCGATATAGAAATGTTCAGATTTACTTTTGTCTGGATAGCTACATCTCATCTTATAATAGCTCTTCTATTCACTCTAACAGAGAATATCTTGGAGGAAATCCGTGGAGGCGGATTCTCTGTAACACAGCTGAAGGAGACAGTGCTGTCGAGGCAGATGGCTGAGGAGTTTTACAAAGAGCTCAGGGAGAAGCCTTTCTTCAGCCAGCTGGTGGAATTCATGTGTCGGTTAGTCTATCCCAGGATACAGCTACAGGAACAGAGCAAAGAGACCAATCCCTGCTGCTGCTCCAAGTTATTGCAGCACGTTTAATGCTAGTCTTAGCAGATATGAATCAAGCCAGCCTCAGAGAAGTGACTTGGAGGTCCATATCAATTTCATTCTTAGTTCCACATCTAGAGTTTAAAGATACTGTATCTTCTTCTGCGATTAGCCCCTTTGCTTAACTGCTCAAACACAATTTTTACACATTATTTGTTCTTTTCCTGTTAGAGGGTTTTTGGGGGGAGTTTTTCCTTATCTGATTTGAGGGCCTATGTCAGAGGATGTCGTGTGTGGTACAGATTATAAAGCCCCTCAAGGCATAGTTGTGATTTGTGATATCCATCCCTCCATCCATCCATCATCTACAGTATACTCTTTATCCTGTAGAGGGCCACAAGGAGGCTGGAGCTGATCCCAGCTGACACTGGGTGAGATGCAGGGTACACCATGGACAGGTCTCCAGTCTCTCACAGGGCTGACACAGAGAGACAGACAACCACTCAGCATTCAGGAAACAAAGGGAGAGAGAGAGAGAGATGGAGAGTGAAATGCAACAAAGGTTCCAAGCCAAACAAACCAGGGATGTTATAGTTAGTGGTTGGCACCTTTGTCCCTGAATATTTTTCAGGTTTGTTTTGTTTGCTAAAGCAAAACTATCTTACAGTTTATTTAAAGCATCACCTAAGATATTACTGACGTGATGTGCTGATCAGATCACATCATGTTTTTTCAATAGCATTTTAACAACTACATTTTAATGTGAAGCAGACCATAGCTGCAGTTTATCTTGAAATATATTGATTAAAATGCTGGTGAAACTACTATTTCATTCAACCTAGACATCTAAAAAAGTTATACACATTTCAACCAAACATAGTCAAGCTTTAAACTAGACCTCATATTGTTACCTGCTGGTCCCCGGATGTATGCTTACTGGGACGGTGTAGTCAAATGTTATTTTAATAGGAGTCTTGTTGTGTTCTGTTATATGAACATTCTGTCATTGTTTGTCTCAGCGGGCCCTGTACGATTCTTGTCCTGACCAAGGAAAATGCTGTGGAGGAGTGGAGGTCCATGATGGGCCCCACTGACCCCAACCACGCTAAAGCAACCTCCCCAAGCTCTCTGAGGGCACGCTTTGGCTCCGACATCCTCCACAATGCTGTCCACGGTGCCTCCAGTGAGCAGCAGGCAGACGAGAAGATTCATTTTATCTTCGGTGACATCGGCTCAGATGCAAAGCTCACCTCTGATGGGGAGACTGACAGAACAATTTCAGGTAATCATATGATGTTTGTGTCAGTCCTTTCTATCTGTCGCACCTTCTGATTCCATATAAATAACAGTTTTGTTTGGATGGTTTTTTTTTTTTGGTTTTCATACCATATTCCCTGGATGAAACAATATTTCAGTCGACTACATATTTTATAGTTGAAGTGAAAAACACTGTAAAATTGATCTTAAAATAAAAACTGATTTCAGCAACAGAGCAAGACAGTGCAGCTGATGCAAATGCAGGAGTGTTGAGCTCTCTAGCTGAAAACATTTCTGATAGCCATTACCAGCAACAATGAAGGAATGCAGTGAGGATCGCAGTGACACAGTAGCGGTCCCAATTCAAGACCACGATCCTTTAAAGCATTTGTACACAACCACAATCCACTGTGCACCAATCAGTGTGAAGTAATTTTAGTCAGTTCTGTAAAGTATTAGTCATCAATTTCCAGTAAAATGATCACATTAGTACGATTAATGAAAAAGGCTCTGCCAGTTGTAAATAATAGGAACCAGGCATACACTCCACAGCCACACAACATTGCAGAAGAGGAAAAGGTTAACTATATGGATATACAATATGGATTGTTAACCTAGGCCTCTCACAGCCATTTTTACATTTACGCCACAAATTGTACTGAATCTTTTTTACCTTTGGGAAGAAGACACAGATTGAGCTCCCGAACTGAGACATAGCAATTACTGCATTATGTCCTGGGAGTTGAGAGCAGCGCTTTTAGTAGATACATTTCTTAATAATGGGTGGTACAGTGATGCGGTGGTTAGTACTTCACATAATAAGGTTCTGGGGTGGAATCCCAACCCGGGCCTTTCTGTGTGGGGTTTGCATGTCCTCCCCGTGGCTGTGTTGGTTTTCTCTGGGTACGCCGGCTTCCTGCCAGTCCAAAGACGGATGGATCTCTCAATACTGATAACAAATACTGACAATTCAGTATTGATTCAGAGAAAACTGATGTCACTTATCTTCATATTTTCAAAACAGCAGCTGGAATGCAGATGTAATCAGTTCTCATGTCAGTCTCTTTGCCTAGAGTGAAGTCAATCTTATCCAGCTGCACTGACTGTAGGTGGACAGATTCAATGCAGATGTGCAACAGTTTCTCATGATCCCATTTTGCTGAAGTATAAATAGGTTTAGGGGATGAAATTTTACATCGGTGCGAGTTCTTTGGCTGACGATTTTAACTATTCTACACTAGTATCTAATAGTTTTATTTATTGCAGGAACTGTTTTTGTCATTCAGAAGAGCTGATCTAATCATCTGCTTCCTTTATTTTGCAGATGACCCACAATTTGTGACGATCCAGAACCCTTAAATGGAACCAGTACACCAAGTATTTTCTCATGTATTTTTGGCCTATTTTGCAACATTATGGGAGCAACAAAATATCTGTCATTCTATGACTCATGAAATAAACAAGACAAATATATCTGACATTTACACCTCCTATAGGTGTTTGAAACTGCATATTCCTCAGTCAGTGACAAGGGGAACTTGTAGACGGGGGGTAGAGTTCTCTTTAAACCACTACTGGTAGTTAACGGTTTCTTGGAGTGAAACAGCAGCTGTAGGGTGCATGACCAATAACAGGGTCATACAGTCACTTCAGTGGAGCTGTTCACAAAAACCTTTGCTAAATCCAGAGAACAATGCGTCACTGTGCATTCAGCCTACAATCAATTGTCAATATCACTTTAACTACAGTACTACCATGCTGTGACAAGGTGAATAAGTGTGATCGGGCTCAAGTATTCTTGAATATTTTTCCTGTTAGAATAATAATGTTAACAACTGACAGTAAATTTGCTCATGTTATATTAACTGAGTGAATGTTGAGAATAACCAACTTATACAAGCTTCACCAGGAAGTTCCTGTCATTATTCACTGCATGCTGTTGGATCAGTTGAGATGAAACTCAACTTCATCCAAACACCACCATATCCAGTCAGATCCAGGTTGAGGAGGACTCTAAAACAGCTTTGAGTCTGATATTTATTCAGTTATATATGTTTATTGGATTATTATTATGCATCTATCAAAATAGAAGTATTTAACTATGACAAAACAAGTCATGATTGGCTCAAAACTAACAAACAGTGCATGTTCCAATAAGCAAAACAAAGCGATGTTCATGCAAATGGTGTTAACCAGAAGTGTTTTCATTTGTCCTCCCACTCATTTGCAGCCTCCAGTAAAATGTCTTCATCTATGCTGTCATCTGCACTGAAGGATCTCTGGAACATTTCCATGATGCTCTTCTGTTCAGGGTCCTGAACAAATCCAAATAATCAGGTTCAAGAGTGAATTCGTATGGTTGAGCTATGTAAGCTCTGCTGTCCTGAACAGTCTCGTGTAAATGTGTTTTCATGTATAAATGTGTGCTATTTAAAAACCGAACAACACTCTGTATCATGTATTTGCAAACATAGGCAGGATTTACCTTCGAGTAGAAGCTAGTGTTCACTGCATTGTCTGAGAGGTTTGACTCAGACAGACCCACCTGCTCCAGCACATTCATTTTTCTCTGGATCAATAGCCTGGATCAATACATGAATAAATTATTGTAATAGAACAGATACAATTCAGTTCACTGTTTATTAAAAAATGCATAACCCGCATTAACCTGAGCCCCTGCCGTTTCAGTTTTGGCTCGGTGGCTGGTGTTGGAACAGCTTTCTGTGAGCCATATAAATTTAAACATTCTGGATCAGCAGATCTGGAATATTAACTTGGATCCAGGTTAGACTTTGGCATCTGATAGATCTTATGTAGATGTTGTCTTGCAATTTTTGTCCAAGCATTCTAGGTGTTGTGTATGGAGTTAGAAGCAAAAATACTGAAACTAGCCCCATCTCACAATGAAGAATCATTTAAAAAATGGATCCAGATCAGCACCAAAACTGGATTGTTCCGTGGGCCATATTCTACTTCTCCAAAAAAATTCATCCAAATCCATTAATTACTCTTTGATTTCTGCTGTGAACAAACCAACAAACACTGGTAGAAACTTAACCTCCGCGATGGAGGTAATAATACCTGTAGCTGGGACATATAGTACTATGCATTGACTGACACATACCATAGGTGATCATCAGCAGTTCCCTTGGCAACAATGTAGTGAATGTTCACATTGCTGGTCTGTCCAATACGATGCACCCTGTCCTCTGCCTGAAGGAGAACCTGCGGGGTAGGAGGGTGCACACATATTCTCCTTTAAAGAAATTCCAAACAAGAGCCTTTAAGAATGAAGAGTTGCGACACTGAGGGTTCAAAAATGGCAGTAGGTCAAGTGACAGTTCCTTCTTTTCCTGCCTTCCAGCAGAATACAGTTTCCCTCAATACACTACCCAAGAACATCACCCAGGACAGATGCTGCAGAGACAGCCTTGATGTTGATTTTTAAGCCAAACTGATTAACATTTGGCCATTAAAATAACAAAACTCATGGAAAGATACAAAAATACACCATATCACTGGGTTATAACAATGCAATGGCTAATGCATTGGTGATACATCCCCAACTTATGAAACCAGAAGACAAAACAACAGTACTGGAACTATCACTATCACTTGTGGCCACTTGAAGATTGTATACCCACTCCACTTTAGGCCCAGTTTAGGTCAGCTCAAACTGCATTTTAGGCTACTGAATGTTTTGCTTTCTCCTTCTAATGCTCTCTGTCGTTTTGGTTTTGGCAAGTAGCTTAAAATGGATTTATCAGAGCTCTTTTTGCTGGAAATAGCTGCATACAAATAAAGTGTCTGACTGAACCTTATAGCAAATATGTGGGCCTTAAATATGTAATGTGAGGTAAAAAGAGCCAAAACTGAACACAAAATAGTAAACTGTGTTCATAATAAAGCAGTTAAAATGAACGCTTACACCGGGGTTCCAGAAGAGCTCAGCAAAGATCACCAGGTCTGCAGAATGCAGTGTCAGGCCCATGTTGGCTGCAGTGATGGACAGCACAGCTACACAGGTCTGGGTTGAGAACTGAAAATTCTCACAGAGCTGCTGTCGCTCAGCTGAGGGAGTGCTCCCGTCAATACGGATGAAATTGACATTCTGTGGAGGAAATGAAAGGCCATTTTCATCGGTGTGCCAATACAGATCAACAAACTCATTTAACAACTCTACAGTAATAAAAAGGAGCATAATAAAGTACTGTATAGTGCTGTAGTATTGGGCTCAAATGTTCTCAGACCTGCAATAACCTGCCCGCTGTATTTACTGACGCTAAGACTTGACTTTAGCTCAGCTGCACTCAGCCACAAGTGCTTCCAGCTACGCAAGGAGGATTTGGTGTGTACTTGTGTAGCAAAACGTGTCGTTTAAAAATCTATGACAAGGTGCAAGCGCAAATGTTATTTCACACATTTCTGATAGGGGTGCTAATGCAAATACCGTACTCTTTAGGCTACTTTGTTGATCGTGTGTAGTTAACATGGTTTAGAGGAGCAGCTACACGGTACTGGTTGGAGTGTTTAGTGGGAGGGACAATAGCATGACTGTGTTATTATTTGGGGTTTTCTGTACTACATCCATGCCGAGTAGCACACTGATACTGAGGCATACGTGTTCAGATCAGTGCTTGCCACAATACTGTGCACAGGCCTTGAAAGTCAATAAGCAGGCCAAATGACACAAAATAACACAGGAAATCAGCCCATGAGTCAGAATTCTGCAGTCTATGCACTGCTGTCATTAGGCGGCTCACATTGGGGAGTGAAAATGGAATGATCCGCTTTGTGTGATACTACATTAGAGGCTTCTTTGGGCCACTAACAGCCAAAACCCAAAGTATATCCTCATATCTCAGTCCACAATCAAAATAAAACAGTTTTAAATCCACATGACATAGGCCAACACACAGACTCGCACCTAAATATTTTTTTTCTACCACATGACCCTTCAGTCACTATTTGTGTACATACAGTACATATGTGGCGTTTACATAGTCTGTCCATTTGTGTACATACATATGTGGCGTTTACATAGTCTGTGTAGAGTCTGAAACAGTCCTTACTCACCTTTTTCCCCAGCTCAGAGGTGATATGATCCAGGACTAACTTATGGTGAGCGAACACTAGAAACTTCTCCCTCCCACACTCCAGCATGTCTGTGATGTACTCCCTGGCAGTGACAGAAACAACACAGCTCTCAACTAGTTCAAAGAACCCTATTAAAATATTTAGCCTTTATGTGACTTTTCATCTTATCTCAAATCAGCTGCAATCGTAATAGTCTGACAAAAGATTCTGGTCCATTTTATATTTTTTATCTCAGTACACATCAAATTTAAGCAGATTCAACTTACTGATCCCCACTACTAAAGGGTCTGCACTTACATGATGGCTTGTAGCTTGGCTTCAGCTGTGTGGCCATAAAATATGAGGAGCGCTTCCTTTTCCTTGTTTTTCTGAAAATGAGATAAGAAATAACACATGATGAGAAGGAGATTCTGTCTGATGATTTGATAAGACAGCCATTACTCTGAGGGACAGTGTGATTATTCATAATCAAGCTCAGCGACTCACCCCCATCAGTGTATAAACACTCTTAAAATAAGGTTTGCTGGAGTATTTTATAGATTGGTTTAAATTTACTTGTGTTTGAGACCTGAAAGGACTCACTCATGAAGAGGACACAACCAATACACCTGACTCCAACAACAACTTCAATAAGAGTTCTTCAACCTTTTCTTAACTGTGATGCCTTTTTAATCAGAGAGACTTTAAGTCTGCAGATCAGTTTCACAGAATTTTGTCCAACCAATATGAAATATCAATGCCTCAATCTCTGATATCTTCTGAGACACCACTTGGGGTCCCAATACCCCTCTTACTATCTCTGCGTTCAAAGAACCGGTTATGAACTACATCTGATTTGTTTGTCATCTCATGTTTATCTTTAAAATATATTTATTTCAGGAAGCTTGGGATTTAAATAAGTGAAAAGTAAAGATATACTATTTCAACCACATTTGACATTTAAAAATCATTTGGTGAAACCAGAACCTCATTATTTTTTAAATTACCGCAACAGAATTTACAGTGGCTTTTCTGAAAAAGAAAATGATCTAACTGGTTGTGCATTTTAGTTAATTAACATCTTCCAATATATTATTTCTTCCAATTTCTTGCATTTTTTGCAAAATTGGAAATTTTGCAAATAATGCAAAGACTGGTTAATTTTACAATAACTCCTACAACAAGACTGTAAACACCTGCAGCAACTGGTTTCTTAGGTTTTTGTGAATACTTATTTTTCAAAAAGCTTCAAATTCTGTAATTTTTCCTGGACATGTGGGAAGCACTGGTAACTTACTTTGCCATAACTCTTGGTCAACGCCTTAGCAGCTGCTGAGAGAGCAGCTTTTGTGCTGGTGTTAATCCCATCTATGGTCACTGTGACAACCTTGCGCTGTTTAGCGGGAAGCTGGGAGAGGACATCAGACTTGAGGCGGCGCAACATCAGACATTCCTCTAGCAAAAGCTTCAATTCCCCGAGGTTAGAAGATCCTGAGTAGTCCCAGCCCCAAGTATTCTGGAGAGGATTGGAATGAGTAAATGCAGAATTAAGAGGAATTAAGAAAATAATGAATAATAATGTAAAGGAGTAATAGACAGACAGGCGGTAATGGTGACATATAGCAGGTAACCGGGTAACTATCGATTTAGAAAAAGCTGAATATACATATCAAGGTTCTTTTAATCCTATACTGGGATTTACCTTAATAAAAGTCAAACACTGGTCTAACTAGAGGACTGATAAAACCAGATGTTAGTCACTGAAATGAAATGTTCCATGAAAAGATTTTTACACAGCATTTCACAATTAGTCATCATGACCAAATTAAGGATGTAACTGACCTTTAAACCATGCAACATGTTCTCAGCTTGAGCTTAATAAAATGAATTAAATAGAGTCTTCAGACTTAAGCTACCTGTTTGGCATCACAGTAGCGCATCCCAAACTCATGGAAGCGGGGGAAGAGTGTAGGTCTGACAGCCAGAACCTGGGTGTAGAGCTCAGAGGGTCTGGACATGGCAGGGGTCCCAGACAGAAGAATCACTCTCTTCGCTGCCTGAGGATAGTTAAAACAACTGTGATCAAAACACTGCTAAGAGAGTCTATGTGACATAAAGAAACTAAACCAAACCACCAGAAATTAAACCAAACCATGAGCCAAGTGCTTGCAACAGTTTGGCTTCTGCTGGTTTGTAGATCTTCAATATTCATATACGCACACACAAAAGAAAATACAGTGGAAAAACAAAGCATGACGATGCGCGTCAACCTCAGAGGCTATACTTGGTGATGGTTAAGAGAAATACGGGGTATACCACTCGTTAGGTTCCAATAGTGGAAACGCAACATTATAGTATACTACATTACAAATTATGGCTTAAGATGTAAAATTTGGAAAACTAATACAGATGTGATGAAAGATGAAGAGGAAGAAAAGCACCTTGAGCAAAGGTAACGCTGCTTTACAACGAGCAGTCTTTATGTTCTTCAGGAAATGGGACTCATCCTGCACAGAATGACAAAGGCAACATATTTTATAACACAGCTGCCATTAAGGGCAAAATTATCAACCAATTAATCAACTTAGCGAGATGAATAAAGTTTCAGGAATTGTGTCTAAATAACACACAGTTCAACCACACTACTAACCATGATGAGAACACTGAAAGGCGGTCCTGACTGCAACTTGCCCATCTTACTCAGCAGGTCGTAGCTGATGATGTTGACCAAACCAGACCGCAGATTGTCTTTTGCCTTCACCACCACATTGATGCTGTCAGGACTCAGGGAGGGAAGCCAGCGTCCAAAAGCCTACAGGTGTAGACACAGGTGCAAAGAGAAGCAAAATTCCTCAGAATAACAGCATTGGTTTTCAGGCTGTACTTTTCCCCTAACCACTCAGAATATTTCAATCTCAAATGAACATCATAGAAAATTAAATCCATCCTATTATCACTATGTTTCCATTTAGACACCACCAATCATTTTGGTTTGGAAAAAATGTCAACTGTAGCCCAAATGTTTCTGACAACTCTCTGACTTGCTCTCCATTTGCCTGTCACCCTGGATTAAGCTCACCAAGTTAGAGCTCTGCAGCTTTGCAGTAGATTCAGCAAATTGCACATGACTAGCAGTGCTGATAGGAACCAAGCCTGACAGAATAAGTGTCCTTTAATGGGACAACATCCTGCGACTGAACTCTGCTCTGTGATTTTTGATTGGGGGGACTGCGTTTGATCAAAGATGTCTATTCCAAGAGCAAACTGCCTTGTCTTATCAATAGACAGAAGGTCCAGTAAAGCTCCTCTGAAAATGTTCTGCCTGTTAATGTGCAGCCTGTTAAGGCTGCTGTGAGTTACCCAGAGAATAGATGCTACAGAACATGAGACACACTCAGGAAAAAAAAAAACTAATAACAAAAAAGCAAGACACCTGAGATGAACTCTAAAATTAGAAAGTACTGAAATTGTAGAAGAAACTGGGGACAAAGAGGCACTAACATTTCAATGAGCCCAAGTGTGTGGCATCACAATGACTGTACGATTATATCACACATGTGATATAAGACATGTACAAAGCTGCTGCTTTTAAGAAGTGATGCAAAGTGAAGCAATAGCCTTGAATCAACTGCTTGATTAATCTTTTAGTCTGTCAACAAAAAATTAATGGGTAACTGTTGTGGCAATCAATTCATCATTTCAGTTTTCAAGTATGCAGCTGCTGATTGGCTGAGTGCCTGATGCTTTTCTTTGTAATATATGACAAATATATGTAACTGTGGTTTTTGGACTGCTGGTTGGACAAAACAAGCAAACAGAATATGTCACCTTGGACTCTGGCAAATCATAATGGGCTTTTTTAATGTTGTGACATTTTATAGTTTGAATGAATAGTTTGACTGAGAAAATAATCAGCAGCTTAGTCATAATGAAAATAAACTTAGTTGCAACACTTTTAAACAATATATTTCAAACTTTAATGTCAAAAGTAGATATCACAGAAACAGAATTCAACAAAGGAGACAAAGGTACCCCTATTAGCATCTCTCCTATAGATCTGATTCACACTTCGAATTATCATCTGCACACGTGAGACAAAGAAATTGGAGAATGAAAGTCAATACTACCATCTTCCATACTGAACATAAAGTACCTAACACAGTGAAACAGTATTAACATTCCTCAAATGCAGCGAGCTTTAAGTAGAAGCCAGCATTGTAATGTGCAGGACAGAGTTTTTTTTTAAAGGGGACTGGAAGGATTTTCTTAAGACGGTGCCTGCTGACTTAATGCAAACCGATAACGACACTACTAAATGGAAACGGTGATAAACTCTAACACCTAGTAAGTAATGAGCTATGTTTCTTCTAGGCACAAAGCTTTGTTTAACAGAAACAACCTAGTGAAGGCTTTTACCTCAGCCCAGGTGAATCGTACAGAGGAAGGAGTCACCACCAGTAAGGGCCACTCATTCCTGTAATAGGCTGCTATGCAGATGGCCTGCACCGTCTTTCCCAGACCCATGTCATCAGCCAGGAGGAGGCGGCCTTGTTTAGACACAGCAAAACTACAGGGACACAAAGATATACCAAAATTAAAAGCTATAGCAGGAAAACAAGCTGAAGTCTCACTGATTAATCCATTTTAATCTACAAATCTGAGAATCACAGCGGAATGGCACACAGATACTGACTTATGGTAAGGATCTCTTCATTTGCACAAGACCAAGCAAACTGAAAATGAATAGCTGCCTCCTGGTATTGAGCAGCTGGCTCCACTATCCAGAAAGAGCTTTAATGACTGTCCGAAAGCACCTACTTGACTCCTTCCCTCTGGAAGGGCATGAGGCTGTGGGTGAGCGAGGGGTCGATGCTGGAGAGGTCTGCCTCAGGGATGTCTAAAGACCTGGCTCTGGTCCCATCAAAGCTGGCAGAGAAAACCTGGATTACCGCCCTGGGCAGAGGCTCCACCTCTACTGCTGCTATCCCACTGAGGAGATCCACTGAGTATGGAACATAGCAACAGTCAGTCAAGGTGGCATATGTAACAGAGATAAACCTCCTAACAAAGCAAATGTTGATACTCACTGAGTCTCTTGTAATCCTCAAGTGAAAAGCTCCACTTTCTTGTTTTCATGTCTGCCACATAACAAATCAATTCTGTATCAGAAGCCATAAAATGCAAATACTACATAACAGAGGACTGCAAAGAAGGCAAAAAATATACACTGCCCAAAAAAATAAAGGGAACACAAAAATAAGATATGCAACTATGTTGTGTTCCCTTTATTTTTTTGAGCAGTATATATTCATCACATGAAGTTACCATAATTTTTTGTTGGCATTTGCTTGAATGCTGCAATGACATCAACATGATAACCGATGTCAACCTCAAAGTTTGTCTGAGAAACCAGTATGCACTGGCCCTGCAGAGTGGCTCCAGGTTTCTGCCAGCCATTACACAGCTTCAGCAGTGCCCCAAGAGCTGCGCCGTCACGAGCCCGGCTGGTGGCTTCTGCAATGTCCACCGCCTCCATTCCCTCCAGAGGCCTCAAAGACACAGAGGCAATACAGGCTGCCTCCTCCACTGCAACACAGGGCGAAGACAGAAGAGATGCAGCAGCAGCCCAGAGAAGATGAGTACTACTACTACTACTTGTACTGCTACTTCTGAAAACAAAACATTTCCCTAACATACATACTTAGGTGTCGATAGTCCTCCAGGCTGAAGTTCCACATCTTTGTGGCAGGGTCTAAAACAGTGCAGAATATTTTATTATCTCAGAACACAGTGGAGATGAGGTGAACTTACAAGGCCAGACATATGATGCAAAATAACTACATTCTCGAATCTGGTATTTTTGTTTAGACAACTTATTTTTTCCAGGTGTGTTTAACAAATATAAATCTGACATTTTAGCCAGAACATAACAGTTTTTATTGCTTTGACAGTCTTTCAGGTTTATCTGATTATGCACTATGGCACATTGGGCATTATTTAAAAACTACAATGCCTGCTGTTACAGAACACAATACAGTAAGTCAGTACTCAAAAACTATAAAGGTCTGATACACATACCTATTTGGAATACAAGTGCTGTAGAACCTACTTGAGCTATCAACACTCTTGTTCATTTGGTCTGAATTAGATATTTTAGATTAACCCCATCATACTGAGAAACAGATTGTTGACAGTTTATGTTGTCCTGTCTGTCTTGAATGCAGTGTTTAAGTTCCAGCAAGTTTTGATGGTATGATGCTACCAATGTTTAGATTTCTGTACCACTTATTAAATGTATTGCTACTTACTTGTAAACAAAATAAATTGTGGCTTTATTAATTTGTGCTTATATTCTAAGATGTCTACATTTCTCAAGTTTAAATGATTTGTCTTTTCCAAAAGTGGAGAGGTTTGAAGCTGCAAAAAGCATTGACCATCACAAGTCAGTTGCAAAACAGCACAGAAGCATTGATAGATACTTACCAAAGCTCTTAGAGGGGATGGATCTGAAAACCGAGATAAGCTCTGCGTGGTAGCCCACTTCTACTCTGAAGCGGCCCTCCGTGTGTGGTACACATCTCCCTCTCACAGAGATGGCAGGCTTTTTTGCAGGTACAGCATTTAAAGTTGAGGAGCCTGAGGGAAGCTGTGCCACAGGACTTTGAGCAGGTTTACTTGTTGCTTGCTTGTAGGATAAGCCAACTGCACTGGCAGAGCTGCTAGAGGTGAGGTTAGATTTGGGTTGAGCTGGTTTCACACAAGAGCTTCCACCACTGCACAAGACAGAGCTGTTCACGTGTTGATGCGGTAAGTAATGATTTTGGTTACTGGAGGTTTGTGAGTTTTCTGCAAAGGGTGCAACAGGCTGTTTTGGTGCAAAGAATGAGCTGGATGCAGCATCCGGAGCAACGCTTTGTTTAGAGGACTTAATCTGTACAGAAGTGCTGTTCAATCCAGCTGACGTCTGCTTATTGGTACTGATAGTCTGTCCAAGTCTTTGGGCTCTTTTCTCCAAAGCCTTCCGTCGATTCTCCTCAATCATTCGCTGTTGCTCAGCAGTCAGTTGATTAGACATATTGCGGGACTTGATACCGTTTACTGACTAAAGCTAACTAGCACGAATTCACACGACTAAAAGTAACTTCGAGCTAGCAATATATCTAGTTACCTGCAAACACGTGTGCAGATCCATCCGGACTTTCAGAACAACTACGAGGATGAAACTTTGCAAACACACTAACTTAACTTTACTGCACTGCTAATGGTAGCAGCTAACGAGATTAGCCTGGACGTCAACAGTCAAAGTAATCAACAAACTACACCAGCAGCGTAACAATGATTGTAAACATATGTGAGCGTTCATTCGTGAAATGATAGATTACATATAGTCTGATCTACAGGCGGTAAGTACTGCAAAGTTTGGACGAAGGAAACAGGCCAAAACATCCACTGTAGCTTCTCTCCTTGTCAACATACTCTAGGACTCGCTATGTGCCGCGCAGGAAGTGACGTAGAAAAACAAGCAGGCACGTGCAGGTGGCTGTTTGACGGCGAAAGAGACAACTGTTTACTGTTAACAGTAAAACATTTAAATGAGCTAAAGCTTTGTTGTACTGATAAAAACATGGGACGGTATTCCTGATATGTTCTGTGAATAAAAAGTAGGCAAATTATTTCAGGAAAAAAGAAGGTAAGTTTAGTTAGAAGGATTTGTCCCCATTTTAACATTAAATCTTCTTTATGGTAAAAGTTAAAGCTTCTCGAAAATTAGCTAGCTGAGGCTAATAAAGATAGCCGAGACAGCCCAGCCACAGGTTTGTGTTCATTTCGATTTTTCAGTCAAGCTACACAGATGCCATGCCTAACAGCCATTTAATTGCTCTCCACTGTCTCTCGTCTTTTTTATTTATGTCCAGCTATAGCGACTTTTTATTTATCCAGCGTCTCCAAAACCAGCATCAATCATTGTGGTGAAAATTACCTAGCACATTTGCTCAATTACTTCAGCAGTTACTTATGTAAAATTTTTAAGTACTTGTGTTTTACTGGAATCTTGTATTGTATGTGCTACTTAAAATGTAAATATATAATATGATACATTGTTTTAAAAGATATGTAATGTAATTAAGCACTCAGAGAGGGACCATGTTGCATTATGAGTATCCTACCGGTACTCTAGATAGTTCGGGTACATTTTCAAGTAGCCTACATTTTTGATATTACTTCGGTAATTAACTAAAATTATGAATTCAAGACTTTTATTTGTAACACAGTGTTTTTACCTTGTGGTATCGTTCATTTTATTCCGGTTTTAATGCTTATTGATGCAATGTAAATTATGTCTTTGCCTAAAGCACGTTGAATTGCCACAGTGCTAAATGTTAAAATGTGCTATATAAATAAAGCTACCTTGTTTTGCCTTTGTAGTGCTGAGACAATTGACTAAAAGTAGAAAAAATAATCAGCAGCAAATTTAATTATAATAATTATTATTTTATTATTGATTAATTGTTACTTTGCATGCAAAACTGCCAGCAGCATGGTTTCAGTTTCTCAGTTGGAAGTGCTTTCTGGTTTTTGAAGTCTTTTATGTTGTAAACTGAATATCAAAACAGGCAAATCTATTTAAGACCGCAAACTATTAGCCTAATGATTCATCCACCTACTTGAACACCGGGCACTGGTGAATTAAATGTTTGTTGTTGTTGTTTTGTCTGCTTAATTTGAATCTAGCCTGCAGTTTTGCCTTTTAATTCAGTTCAGTTTTATTTATAGCACTTTACACCCAAAGCAATTGATCCCAAGTGTTTTAAGATTTCAGTAATTTTTATCCTAATTGATTTTTGTGTTGAGCAAAATTTCACAATTTAGCTGAACTGTAATGAATAATTTGATATTGATTATTTGCATTTTCTCCTGTCTGAATGATAAAAGGGAGTAAATGTCTCCTCCTTTAGAAGAAAAGAAAATGTGTGTCACCTTTAACGTTTTGTCTCCTTCTATAAGGATGTCTGACCTAACCAGAGCAATTAACCATTTTCCTGTGCGTTTGTCTCGGTCCACAGTTGTAGTAGCCTCATGAGCTGGCTGCTTGCATCACGGTGCGGTGGTGACGTGCGGCGTCTGGGAGCTGTCCCAGGAATCATGGAGCTGAAGCTGCAGCACCGGTTAAGCAGCCCATGATCACAGTAGAATCCGGGGCTACGGATGCTTTCACCCAAAGCAGGACAGTCCATCAATCGTGTTGGGCTCTAACGGGGGGATGTAAACGTTCTGCTTGTTCCTCGGATATGGGAATTCGATCATTTGGCATGTAAGCTTCACACAGACTTGCCAGCGACCTGCAGTCTGGCTGGATTTAAAAAAAAACTGAAAGTGAGACTCGTATGGAAATCGGTATAGCTCCCCAGGTAAGACAGATTCCGCTTCTTAACATAGGACGCCATCGATTTAGCCTACTTGATTTGCTTGTCAGTCTTATAAGACGTCGAGAGCATCTGAGCTCTGCTGGTTTAAAGCATGGCATTGGTTGTTGCTGGAATATTTGAATTTGAAGATTGGGCGCTGACATTTTGTTTTGTAGTCTATTTCAGCCCATTGTACCAAATGCTGATTAGATTTTTGGTGTCTGCACTCGTCGTGAAGCTGGAAGGAGATGCCTGTCTATACTAGTTTATCTTGTACAGACTATTAAGGCCATGAAACGGCAGTGGACACAGTGAATAGTCCATAGCCTTATTACTCGAATGCACATTCCTATCCATCTAATATTTGACTTTTCTCTTTTAGATGTTCCATTTATTCAACTGAATGGCTTCAGACACTTGTTTGCATTGATGGGATTTATTTACCTTTTGGATTTACATCCTCGTGGAAACACAATAACATTCAATTAGAATATACGGAAACTAAAAGGGTGCTTTTAGTCCCAACGCACGCGGGAGAACGTACCCTTGCACCCACTACCCCATCCCACGACATATGAATAAGTGTTTGCTTATGACGGGGGCATAGACAGTGCACGCCGTTTTCTTCCAGCACCTTTGTAAGGTGCTGTGAGTTTCTGGCCGAGACTGCCTGATGCTGCGCAGCCAGGGCATGCTGAAGAGCCGCTGTTGCGTCCTGCTCGGTGACCTGAGGGTGCTCCTGCTCGGGCCACCGGCACCTCCGACACCGCTGCCTCCGCTGACCCCCATGAGCGGCCAAACTACGGAAAGCCATGAGACAGGCGTCACCGTCCCCGACAATAACAACACGTTAACGCGGAGCCACCAGCACGCAGGGTACCGGACTGC